GTTGAACCCCGCGCACTCCCTCTTACAAATCTTGTTAATTTAAAACTAAGCTAAAACTTTGTTAACTTTCCTAACAAAACGAATTCACATACAAACAAACATACACCAAATATACTCAATCACAGCTCCAAATTTATATATAACGCATCGCTAACAGGCGCTGCCCCACCCTTCAAAAACCGAAAAACGCATTACTGCCTTCACGGCCAGAAATAAGAAGCGGCGGTGCGTACTACCCGCGCGCGGACTTACAGGAGGTCCTACCACCAGTACCTTCAAGAACTTACGGTATATTTGCGAATATCAGCCCTGATGCTCTCACCACTAAGCCTTTGACTTTCTAATCTATACTAATATAAAAATCTAGAGTGGTTTTTACGGATGCTCGTTTTAAAAACTGAGCCATGCATCCGATTGATTTGAAACTTGGTATAGCGGCTAGAAAATACATGTACTAATGCGATAGCGCTAAATGTATTCTATATGATTTGACTCCCTAGATAATATTGACAATAAATAATAATGTTAATTTTAAATGTCTAGGGAAGCGGGCGAGTACTTCTAGTTTCGTATAAAACTATTTTTTTAAACATACACAAAGTCGAAAATCGAGTTACTTAGTTCAGCCAGGATTGAGATTGTAATCGAAACATCGAAGCAAACTGTTATAGCAGAGTGAAACTAAATAATAAAATTTTAGGGGAAATCCCCTTTTAATTAAAAAACTTAATATTGGAATCGCCACTAAATAAATGTCAAATAATTTCATCACAAAGCCAACTTCCTCGAATAGGGTCGTAGCAAAATAAAAAAATGCCAAAGAAGGTAATTAAATTCCTCCAGATAATCCGGTTATCTTTCACGGCTCGTTGTTAATTAATAACAATAAATCTGAAGGCACCTTCAGAAGAAGCGGAGTGTGAAGGATTATAAGGGACGGAAACTGGTTCACTGCACTTCTTTGTGATATCGAGAATTTAATACAACAATGGAAGAGAATTATCGGTCTTTAGCAGACGCCTTGATGCTATTTACCTATTAATCCAGAGTTATGCTACCCGTAAATAGCCTTTAGCATTACTAACGCTGATTATAAATTTGATTTATCATTTAGTTCTTCCTTTGGTTCACTAGTATGAACCCAAAGCGCGAACATCTCGTATAATAGCACACCTCGAAACCTTGAAACAAAAAAACCGCCTTGAAAAAAAATATCTGAGAAATCTGTTCGTTTTTACCGTATTAGAACCGGAAACATAGCTTCTTCGGCATCGAAATAAATTGGATCATACATTTTTTGTTCTATATTGAGAGGTGAGGGGGCCTCGGACCGATGACCTGAGGCGAACGAAGTCAGTGCTGTGACCAAAGCAACGAACGCCGCGCGCTTCCTAACCACTAAAGTTTTGTCATTCCACGCCACCTTAGATAATAAATATTTTTCTCACTAAAACCTCTGTTAGTGCATTCCACGAACCTGCGAACCAACATAAATTACAATTGGTCCTACGACCCGGATCGCGAATGTTCTTCTCGCCACCGCAAAAGAAAAAAAAAAATGGTAAATACCCGCAGTACCGCCAACAAACAAAGAAAAATTGACGATGAGCATGATGCAAAAAGTTCTTGTGCCGCGAGTGCAGTGAAATCGGAACGAACCGAAAAACAAAATCCGCCTTCACTAGCATCACATCAGTCAGTCAGGTCCAAGAAAATGTCATCATCAAAATCAATACAAATCCAGAAAAAGAAACTGGAACTAGAAGCAGCTGAGGCGAAGGCGCGTATTCAAATGGAACTCATTGATCAAAAGTTAGCGGCGGATCTAGCAGAACTCGAAGAAGAATACAGTCCACCATCAGAAATATCGGAGAAAAACAACGGCGGTGATATAGAAAAATGGTTAGAGCGTAGTCAACAGGAACTGCAGCAGGCCACTAAGTTCAACAGTGATAAACACAAGTCACACTCAAGCCCGGCCGACAACGACGCAGTTCAACAACTCAAGAACGCATTCAAAGAACTCCCTATCTTCAGCGGAGATCCAAAAGAATGGCTTCATTTCGAGCAGGCCTACCTGGAATCGACTGAAGTCTGCAACTTCAGCGATAAAGAAAACCATTGGCGGTTACGAAAGTGTTTACGAGGTACCGCACAAGAAGCCGTCGCCGGCCTACTTATCAGTGGTGCTTCTCCTGCAGAAATAATTTCCACTTTAAAACTACAGTTCGGAAACGCTGACGTCATCCTATCTCGCATCGTGGTAGACGTAAAGAAGATGAACCCACTGCCTACGGACTACCACAAAGAAATAGTACCCTTTTCAGGCAAAGTGAAAAATTACGTGGCCGCTGTACGAGCCCTTGGTCGCCAAGAGTACCTGCAAGGCATGGAAGTGGCTAACATTATCTTATTCAAGTTACCCACGACCCTGCTCACCAAGTGGACAGATTATAGTTATCCGCTTATCACAGCCGAATCGCCGAAACCTAGACTAGAGGTGCTGTCAGATTTCCTCACCGAAGAAGCTGTAAAAGTATCAACCTGTAGTGCTACTTTATTGCAATCTAGGACGGACAATTTCAAACGTAAACTTTATGATAAAGTGAACAATATACAAACAATTTTAGTGCAAGACGGACAAAGTGTACAAAAATGTGGTTATTGTCGTACCGGTAGCCATAAATTAACTGAGTGTAAAAAATTTAAAAAATCACTAAGAAAGGACAGATGGTTCCATGTGAAGCGTTACGGCATTTGTTATAAGTGTTTATTAGCGCATCATCGCAGGGAAACGTGCTCCGCTCCAAGCTGTGACGTAAGCAATTGTGGACAATCGCATCACCGCTTACTGCATTATGTGCCGAGTCGAAACGACACTCAATCTGTATCAGCAGTACAATCTGAAGCGCCACCTGAAACTGAAGTTCAGTCTGAAATAGTAACAAATATTAATGTCGGCTGTTCCGTAATGTTAAAAATTGTGCCTATAAATATTCACGGACCGAACGGAATTGTTAGCACGACCGCCTTGCTCGACGATGGCTCGACTGTGTCGTTGATTAGCGCTCCGCTGGCATTACAAGTGGGACTGCGCGGCCGCCACGAACGTCTTCGTGTGCGCGGCGCGTGGAACGATACAGAATTAGTGTGCGATGCGCAGCTAGCAAACGTGACACTGTGTAGTAAGTGTAGTACCGATAACAAGATGTTTACAATCGATGCGCGGATTGTCGAAGAGTTAAACCTACCACAAAGTTTGCCTACAGTAAATGTTAAAAAATATTTGCACCTAAATGACATCAGCCATAACTTATGCACCACAACACAACTGCATCCGCAAGTTTTAATTGGACAAGATAATTGTCACCTCCTCTTACCTCTGGAAATGAGAGTGGGTAAGCCCGATGAACCCTGTGCCACCCGGACTCCTCTGGGTTGGTGCCTCCATGGAAGAGTACCTAATGCTTACCTACCTAATTCTGCTGCACGTCACACTTCATTGTTTGTCTCCAGTGACGTCATAGAATCTGAATGTACTTTGCGAGAGATCCACGAGGAGGTGCGAAGGTCGTTCTCAATCGAGTCCATGGGCGTATCTGGCAAACCAAGACAGAACTCGGAAGATTTACGCGCTGTTGAAATTTTAGAACGAACCTCCACTCTCATCAATGGTCAATGGCATGTTGGCTTACCTTGGCGGGATGAGACTTGTACGATGCCGGACTCGTACCTAACAGCTCTCCGTAGACTAAAAGGAGTCGAACAAAAATTAAAAAATAACAAAGAATATGCAAAAAGATACGAAGAACGAATACGACATTTATTTGAAAATGATTTCGCAAAAAAACTGATCAGCTCAAATGTTACACCGCTGAAAACTTGGTATTTACCTCATTTTGGTGTCGATAACCCGAACAAAAAGAAACTGCGCTTAGTGTTTGACGCCGCGGCCAAAACAAATGGTTTGTCCCTGAATGATTACTTATTGAAAGGGCCCGACCTACTAATGTCATTATTCGGCATCATGTTGCGATTTAGAGAAAATCGAATAGCCGTTTCTGGAGATATTAAAGATATGTTTCTCAAAGTGAAAATTCGACCAGAAGACCAGGATGCCTTCCGTTTTTTATATAGAGAAGAACCGGAGGGAAATATAAACACTTACGTTATGACGTCATTAATTTTTGGTGCTAATTGTTCGCCATTTATAGCTCAATTTGTAAAAAATAAAAACGCTCAGCGGTATGAGTCATCAATGCCCGCTGCTGCTTCCGCCATATATAGCAGTCACTATATGGACTATATCCACTATATGGATGATTACATAACCGAAGCGGTATTCCAGAAATGGTTGAAATGGATTTATCTTCTGGAATCATTAAAAGACGTGAGTTTGCCGAGGTACTATCCGGCTGCTACCATACGAGTGAATGAGACGAATAATGAAACCCTTCCGCTGTCATCCTCACACAGCACGATTTCAAGGACTACGGCAACGAATAATGCTACGAGCGTAGCACACGCCGAATCCGCTACGAATATTGCATCGCACAGCTACAATAATAATTGTGGAGACGATTACACTGGAGTTTTAACTCGAACTGGATATAGAAACTTACAGATGCATATCTTTTGCGATGCGTCTAACAAAGCATACTGCGCCGTCGCGTACTGGAGATGGATTGACGATGAGTTTAACATACGCGTAGCATTCATTGCGAGCAAATCTCGAGTTGCAGGAAACAAACCTATTACCATCCCACGTTTGGAACTTCAAGCCGCCGTCTTAGCGGCAAGACTAGCGGACTCAGTCACTAGAGAACATATTATAAAGCCTGAGCAACGAATATTTTGGAGCGACTCGACGACAGTGCTGCAATGGATAAGAAATGACGCTCGCGACTATAAAGTTTATGTGGCAAATCGTTTGGGTGAAATTGATGAGTTAACAAAAATAAAAGAATGGCGTTATGTTCCCACTAAATTAAACGTCGCTGATATTGCAACGAGAGAAAACTATAAATTCCCGGCCCTCCAAGATGAATGGTTGTATGGACCTACCTTCTTACGCCACGAAGCAAACGAATGGCCTCACGACTTCATAAGCGACAGAAAAGAAACACTGCCAGAATGTGTTAATTTGATAAAAGTAGAAGTACAGGAAATTAACTTACCTGTACCTGATGCTACAAGATTTAGTTCTTGGCTTCGCTTGCTTCGATCCACTTCATTAGTACTCAAGTTTATAAACAAATGCAAAAAACTTACCTTTGAGTTCGACGATACTATGGAGAAAGCTGAAATATTGTTACTGAAAAAATCACAAGCTGAATCGTTTAAAAAAGAGTTAACTGAAATAAAAAACAGTGGATGTGTATCAAAAACAAGTAATATACTTACCTTGTCCCCTTACTTAGACGAGTATGGAGTTATACGAGTCGGTGGCCGCATCGGTGCTGCTACTGGCATTCTACCTGAATCAAAAAACCCTATTATACTAGACGGAAGAAGCTACATTGCTAGATTGATCGTGAAATATTATCATTATTACTACGCACACGGAAATCAAGAAACAATAGTAAATGAAGTCAAACAAAGATACTGGATCACAAGACTGAGACCTACCGTTAAACATATAACATCTAAATGCTCATTTTGTAGAATAAGAAAATCTAAACCAGAAGTACAAAGAATGGGTGACTTACCTGGCGCGCGAATGGCCCATCAGCAACGACCTTTTACTTATTGCGGCGTGGATTTATTTGGTCCCATGGAAGTCACGGTGGGAAGACGCCGGGAAAAAAGATACGGCGTCCTGTTTACGTGCTTGACGGTACGAGCTATTCATCTGGAACTAGTCAATAATCTTACCGCGGACTCATTTATTATGGCATTACGAAGGATGGCCGCAAGACGTGGATGGCCACAGTATATGTACTCCGATAATGGAACAAACTTGCGAGGAGCGAATACGGAACTGAAGAAGTCTATAAAAGATCTAGACGAAGATGTGTTGAAAGATAAGGCTTCCAATCACGGAATCAAATGGACCTTCATACCGCCCGCGAGTCCCCACTGGGGTGGGGCATGGGAGAGGCTCATCAGAAGCGTGAAGACCAGTCTGAAAGTCATTTTAAACGAACGCGCTCCCAGAGAGGAAACTCTGAACACTCTCTTGACGGAGGTGGAAAACATGGTGAATAGCCGGCCCTTGACTCACGTCTCTGTGAACCCGAATGACCCTGAAACGTTAACCCCTAATCATTTCTTGCTGGGATCGTCATCTAGCTTACCTCACATAGGAAAATTTGACAATACAGATACGTACATGAGAAAACTATGGCGAAGTTCACAAAGATTAGCCGACATGTACTGGCGCAGATGGGTCAAGGAGGTACTTCCAGACTTGATACCTCGTAGAAAATGGCAAGAGGAACGTAAAAACCTACAGGTGGGCGATCTCGTGCTTATAGTGGATCCAGACGGTCCCCGAAACTCTTGGCCTAAAGGAATAATTCTAGAAGTGATACCCGGAAGAGACAATAGAGTCAGAATGGTTCGAGTAAAAACTAAATCGGGCATTTTGACTAGATCGGTCACGCGCATCGCTCGATTATCAGTTGAGAGTGAGTGCTGCTGAGGCAGCACTGGGGTGGGGCGTGTTAGCGATGCGTTATATATAAATTTGGAGCTGTGATTGGTATATTTGGTGTATGTTTGTTTGTATGATGAATTGGTTTTGTTAAAAGAAGTTAGCAAATTTTTAGCTTAGTTTTGAATTAACAAGATTTGTAAGAGGGAGTGCGCGGGGTTCAACGAGAGGTGAGGGGGCCTCGGACCGATGACCTGAGGCGAACGAAGTCAGTGCTGTGACCAAAGCAACGAACGCCGCGCGCTTCCTAACCACTAAAGTTTTGTCATTCCACGCCACCTTAGATAATAAATATTTTTCTCACTAAAACCTCTGTTAGTGCATTCCACGAACCTACGAACCAACATAAATTACACAGCCGTTGTAACTATACTTGTGACCTTAGAACTTATATCTCAAGTTGAGTGGTGCATTTACGTTGTAGATGTTTATGGGTTCCAATAACCACTTAACACCAGGTGGGCTGTGAGCTCGTCCACCCATCTAAGCAAAAATAAAAAAAAATAAGATGAACGTTAATGCAATTTACTTAAGCCAAAAGAAAAACATTTCAGACGAGTTTGCCTGTCGGCCAATTACCGATAGCCGCAGAGGAGGTGACAGCCAAGAAGAGCTCGTATTGATTCACTTTCACTAGCATTCGAGGTCAGATGCGCGCGGCTGCACTGGGGCACTGGAGCACCAATGCACCATAGTTCAGAGTGTGCTGCCTATTGCAACTAACGTGCTTTCAGTAGGCGGGAATTTTCTGTACAAAGAAAACGTGCAGAGTTTTAGAGATAGGAATTGTGGAGTCTAAAGTTTACCTATCTCCTATATCTATTTACTTTGGATTTGGTTCTTAACCATCAAATATTTTTGTTTCTTTGATAAAATATTTACGTCTGAAGTGAAATCTTGCCATTTTAAAATAACACATTCAATAGACGTTGTTTGGTCTTAGCTCAATATAATTTGAAGTTGAAACATAAAATCAGTTTTTACTAGACGCACTATTGTATTTGACTGCCTCTGGTCATACATAAAATATGTATTATTCATTGCGTGATTAGTTAAAGCCGTAAATAACTAAACTTCTTATTGCATTTAATAGATCTCAAAAAGGCTTTTACTAAGAAGAGCAAACCTTCTAATAAATGTTTTGGTTGTTAAGCTACATTTTAGGTACCCGTGGAATTACTTCGTTCAAACATTGTGGTAGGTGTTTAAATTTTAATGAAACAAAACTCTTTCACAGCTCAAGAATTACCACAACTATGCTGTTGTAGTAAATTTACGTCAAGTAGAACTATTCGCAGTAACAATACAGAATATTTTGAGTGATATCTATTAAGACTGTATCTATTTAATAATACGTGAAGCAAAAACTTTGTATCCCTTTATACGAAAATTGCGCGGACGGAGGAGTATGAAATTTCCACACTTTTTTAATAGAGAATATAGAAAAGACGTGCACAATGTAATTTTTTTTTTAAATAATTCATAAAAGATACATTAAATCAATAAAGAAAATACAACACACACTACCATGTATTTGACACACACACATATATAAGTATAGTCTATGTTTATTGTCAAACTTTTGTTATTGCTCAGAGTCTGTGGTCAAATAGAGATTAGGCTAATATTGTTTATCTTTAATATGATTTGTATATAGTGTATTCTTGGCGAAATCTGTGATTAAAGAAGTTTATTAGTCTTTGACAATAGAACCTTAAAAATTTTAAAAATAATGATAAGGGGAGATCTATGCGTGGTAGGCGCAATACACACGCAAATTTTTCGCCCCTGCTAATATTAATTAGATTAAAATTATAAAAAGGATAAAATAGTGATTGTTTAATGCTGTAATTGTGTCTTAATCTTACCTATTCTCGCTGTTTA